TGAATTAACGCGGAACATACCTTAATCAATTGATTTCTGACTTGAATAATAAATCTTGAATCTGAATCTGTAAATCTTCAGTTTGATTGCTTCAAATCCCCATCTTAATTCCTAATTGTGGGTTTTATGGATCTTCCTTTTCATATGCTTTCTCTTGTATTCTTATATTAATAGGATGACACAAAGAATGAGAAGTTTCATATGAATTAGGGACCATAACCATATTTATAGTTTCCATATGTATTTGGCTCATCGTCAAATACAATCCAAATGGATCTGATCTCTACACATATAATCTGACTCACACTTTATTTAGATGTCATAAGCCCAAAAATTTAATTCTTTATTAGATCAATGTAATTGGATTCAACTTTAAGATAACCTTATACACACTTAATTACATATGTAGGCTCCTATGACAAATTAATAAACTCAACATCATCAGAAAAGAACATGGATGGGTTGTGGGTGCTCAGTCAAGATCCCAGGAGCTGACGATACGAGTGGTTTCTTTTCTCTATGGTTTTGCTTTCTTCACAGACATGGAATTGGCACTCAATGCTTCTTTTCTACTTGATATTACTCCACTCTTGGTAGGAACGGGGTGTTTCACTTTTGCTTCATTCCTCGAGAGGGAATATGGCTACACACACCATTGTCCTTTTGCTTTATCTAGTTTGTTCGAATTGTGGACTAATTCTATGTTGGCTATTGGATTTAATTATTATAGGAGGAAATTAATTTTCCCTTGAAGATTAAACTCAAGTAAATAATGGATCTTAGATCACGTTGAAATCATTGAATATTTTTTTTAAATCATCACAAACATAAAGGTGAGTTAAACCTTGAAGGAGCTTTTAATGGCCTAATCAAGTGCTTCATTCCTCAGATCTTCTTTGTTATTCTGCTTAAGTGTCTCCCTCTTTGAGAAATTTGAAAATGTGGCTAATCCTAAAATTGAGAAATCTTTATAGTACTGAATTAGAGTTTCATAATTGCACAAATTTCCTTGAACTTTATTGTAGTAGATCAATCAAATCACACACCTTTATTAGAGCTAAGATAGTGACATAATCGGACTCATAAGACTGAAACTCCAATACATGTTTCTAATTAGACCTCTTGACCAATTAAGATATATCAATTAATCCTGACTTAATCTACCAAAAAAATTGAGATTACACTCTCGAGTCGAGTGATATTTACGGAAGCAAATTATGATCCGATAATAATATCCTCCTATTATCGTTCCACAAATCAACCCTCATTCTAAGTTTCATTTTCATAAGGCGAATTCATTGTGATCAAATCATAACTAGAGTCCAATGATCTCATCGTCGTACTATTGAGCTCAAGTTCAATTGCCTATAAAAAATACATTAGAGTGACAATCGTCTCATCACGATGATTAACAGATTCCAATATTGCAAGTATATGATCTCTAACTGTTTCAACCTGATTCCCAAAGCACCGAAATCAATATTTTAATTAAGACTTCACTCATTAATACCTCAAAAAATTTAAACTAGCAATAAAATGTACATTATTCGCTCATGATTTAGGCAACTTGTTTGATAATCGAGTAGAGTCTCATTTCGAGCGATCACAAATGAGTCATCTACGCGGTCCTATTCAATTTGCATAAAAAAACACATCATTGTTTTTATTCTCAAATCTAGACAAATTTCAATAAGCATAATGCAATCTTATCAATATAAAGCATCCAACTTTATGTATTGATTGTGAACGATATATTTTGATCACGTCACAAATTGTATCTCACTATACCCGAACCATCGAGTATACAGTTTGTGACATCCTATATGATCATGAAATCTTAGATAATTGTTTCAAATTATAACACTCAAATAATCAAACATTAATTCATAATGTCGTTTTACAAAATACTATTTGAAAAGGCATCAAACTAACATTCTATGCCGTAGTTGGCTGGATCTCGTAATGGATTTGATCATTAGTTTTTTTTTTTTTGGTAAAGAGCTCCAAAAACCTAGTGTCTACTGCTAATATCTCTTTCATTAGTATTGGAATTCTCTTTTATTCATTTTTCTCTTAAAAATAGTTGTGACGAATTTATTATTATTATTTTTTTAATATTTTCTTATTTTTACCTTGATAGGCGTCAAAAAAAGGTGCTACACAATGAACTTTGAGCATGTTCGCTTAAGCATAAAAAATTTCATTGTTACTAAATTTATTAACTAATAAGTAAAATACTAAGTCGAACTTAGAAAACTTAACTTATTCAAAAATACCTAAAAAGGTAAATACAAATAAATTTTAAGCTTCGAAATTAGCATGTCCACTAAAAATTTGCTCCATTATAACCTCTGTCCACATCTTACTTTGGTAAGTGAAAGGCAATGAACAATCTTTTCATGTAAGCCAGGAAGCAGGCCGGGGATCTGTCTAATAATTGAAAATCAGTACACTGAGAAAGCTATAAAACACAAGTGACAAGGCCAGAGGCTTTAAAAACTCCATGTGGAGACCATGTGAGGGCAATTCTCTTTCTTGCCAAAGCCAAAATCTATGCCCGAAGAATATTTCTTCTTCTGGGACCCATTTTCCCTACCCTCCTTCACCTTGTTTTCCGGATCCTGCCAATTCTCCCTTTTCAAAATCACCAATTTTCCTTAAAGGAACCAATAATCATGTTTAGCAAAATGAAAAGAATCTGAATAATTGATTCATCAAAATTTGTCTCCTTAATTCCACTTTGGATGTGTTTGCTACACGATATTCGATAAGACTAGACGTTATAATAGATAAAATTTTAATATTCTTCTTCCATGTACTACTCAATTGTATCTAATATTACTACATACCATACATTCTCATATATATATATATATATATATATATATCTCAAATTTTACTAAAGCTTTTGTCACTAGTTATTTTATGCTTGCGAATTATCGTTTGGGCAACTCAAAAGACGAAAAGAATGCGTTTATTCCTATCAAACACCCAGAAAGAGTTTGTTGACATATGTGTCTTACTTAATATTGTGTACTCTTTAACTTCTTACTATTCAACATAGCAAACATGCATATCCCAAGCTACTTGAGCTTATTTATGAACTGCCGGACTCTAACTTATAGAAATTTTGGACTATTTACCTTGAGTATGTGAATTATCTATTTATTAACCCAAAAAAGGTGAAAAACGGAAATGCTGAATATTTTATCTCAGTTATTAATTCTTTTGTACCTTCTTTTGACTTGCACTTTCAAGTTCTTCCCTGTATGTAGATCCCAAAAAAATCAAGATGCACGAGGAAGTGAAAATTGACAAGTTGGCAATTTTTTGTCAATAATAAGTTACAGATATTAGGTTTGCTTGGCTTCAAGAATTCAAGGCGACTACTATTTCGTTTATAATCACCCACACAAATTCAATAATCTGTTTAGGGTTTTGAACTGTGGGCCATCAACTTCCATGTGCCCGCATGTGCAATGTCTTTCTCTTATTGGCCCACCACCTCCCTTCTTTCAGTAATAAATGGGCTTTATGCACATTCTTCTCCTTCTCATTCCTCTCTCTCACTCTTCATCTCTCTGTGTGTGTGAAGTCCTTGGTGACTGTTACACGTTGGATCCCAAGAAAATTAAGTTCTTCTGCAATTTCTTTCTATGCATTATTACATCTGGAAACTTTTCCATTCAGTTCCGATGAAAGCAAGGTAATGCGAGTTTTCTTCTTACTATATACAACGATGATATGATATTTTTATATATTTTTATGTTTATGTCATTATTATGTATTCATAGCTAGTAAATTCTTCAAGATTTAACTCAGGTCTTCATCTATTATTTCATACATGTATATGAACAGTTTAGCAGTACGTTGCTGTAATTTTCATTTTACCTTTATAAGTTTCTTGCTTAATTTGGTATATACAATTATAAGAACTGGAAACGTAGATTTCATTGGTTCGATAAATTTGATAATAAAACTGTATTCTTATTTTCCCGGGTTCCTTAAGAAGTTAAAATCTTATTCATTGTCTTATTAAATGATTCGTGTTCTTAATTTTTCTGTGTAGAACGGGCTATTCGACTTCACTCAAACGAGAATTCCTAAAGAGATGGATAAATGGTCTCCATATATACAGTAATTTAAAGAAGGACATGAGCATTTTGGAGAGAAAAAGGGCCATAAAGTTATCAGCAGATGTGGCCATTGCTTCCACCAGAAATGCCAGCACTCTTTGGAGTCGCACGCTAATGGCCAACATTTCGAAAAATGAGACGAACGAAAGTCTTGTTGAACAAATATTTTCGGATTCGGAAGTAATTAAGAAGAGAGCTTCAATTAGATTGATGGCATGCAGCAATAGAATTACAAGCAAGAAGATTGTGAGAAGAAGCCATATTACTAAAATTAGAGCTAGAAAAATGGGATTGGGACCCCATGCAGTTAAGGCCAGCTACATCGCAAAGAAATTGGTGAAGAACAGAACCCAAGTGCTTAAAAGTCTTGTACCTGGGGGACAAAATATGGGTGAAGTTTCTTTGATTAAGGAAACCCTAGATTACATTGCCTCTCTTCGAGTTCAAGTGGATGTAATGCGGCGTCTTGCAAGTGCTGCTGAACATTCAACATGGTCATTATAATTAATTTACTTTTATTATTAATTATTATTATTTCTGCTTTTATGCTTCAAAAATGAAGGTCGAGAAGAAGCTAAATCCTATATATGTATGTAACCATGTGTACAAATGAACATTGTGCAAGTCACTAATCTCTACATTCTCCTTTCACTTCGTTTTAGTGACTTGGTTTTGAATGTAGTGTCTTTCAATTTTCCAGTGCACACAAACTTTAATTGGTTAAGCCGGACTACGTAATTTTATAGGTTTTAATGATTTGTTTTCTCTCTGATTATCTCGATATTTTTGCGTGCAAGTTTTTTAGATGGAGAATTAGCTTTCTTGAAAATATGTTCGAAAATGGGTCTTGAATCCTCAATGTGGGTTGACTCAACCTCAACCTTTATATAGATGGGGAGGAATAGTTTTATTTTTTAGAATTCAAATTACAACTCACTACAACCACCATTTTGTGCGAAATTAGTACATGAAAAAATCTCATAAAGGTTGTCATGAGAAAATGAACTCCTACTTGTGATATATTTATTGACCATTGATGTTAGGAATATTGGGTCCAACTCCACCTAATAAAACCGGTTTTATTAGGGGAGGATTATCCTCACCTTATTAAGTGGATCATAACTTCACCTAATAAAATCGGCTTATTAGTGGAGGATTGCCCTCACCTTATTAAGTTGATTATTTATATTTTCCCAAATAATGTGGGATTCTAATACACCCCCTCAGCACAGCGTGGACCATGCCAAACAACTGTGAACAAATCGATATTGGGTGGCACCCAACATTGCATAATTGAGCCGAGCTCTTATACCATGTTAGGAATATTGCATAATCGACTTCCTAATTTTTATAATTGGCTTTTTTATTTTCGAGGTGAAGAATTAAATGAGATGGCTAGGGTAATTGGAAGAAAAGAGAATTCGAATTCTTCCTTGCATTCACTGCAACTGAGTTTCTTTGGATGTCCATTTCAATTTGGGTCGGGCATCGAAACATTTTCCGTTGCACGTGAAGCCTTCTCTGAACATTTCCTTTTTTAACTAGAATCATAATTGTACAGTTCAATTAGGCTTTCATTTTTTTTTCTGGATTATATTTTTTTAGTTTTTTGGGTATGAATTGTTAGGAATATTGGGCCTAACTCCACCTAATAAAACCGGCTTTATTAGGGGAGGATTGTCATCACCTTATTAAGTGGATCATTTATATTTTCCCAAACAATGTGGGATTCTAATAATTGGTGTGAAATGGTGTATTAAATTGAAGATTTGGTAGTATAATGCAAGTGGTTCCATCACAAGGTTTTGGGTATTCTTTATTTTGAATAAGATTTCTTAAGTCGAAATAAATTCTATGAATAATGCTAATTTGCATTCCAAAAATCAGAATTATAAGAAACAAAATGTGATGAATCATTTGTTAGTCTTATGTCCTAGCTCTAGTTGTTGAGATGGTACTTTTATTGTTATGACATCTTTGTTACTATTTACCTGATTATGTATAAGTAATGAATGTAGTCTGCAATATAAATTCAAGTCATGATGTACTAATTACTAGGAGTTATGATAGTAAATTATAACCATTTTGATGTAAGGACACTAGAGTAAATACATAGATGATTGTTAGTTGAACAACTTCATTGAACAAGTACTATAGATGTTTCACATGGATAACTATTTCAATCTCAGTGGATTATCTCTATATGACAACTATGAAATTGATTGTTAGACTCGAGATCATTATGAAATCTTATGTGTGAATCATCAAACTTTGATGGTGTCGGATGTGATTCTTTCAATGATGCTAATACAACACTAAATGGGTACGACATGAATCACATGAAAATTCATGGTTGATAAAGAAATGATATTTATCACTCTTAGAGAGTAAGAAATTATGTCCTAACATTTGTGGACCTAGCCATCGATTCTACGATTCCTCGGTCGCAGTGGAGTGAGAAGTTGCAGTGAAGTTATGATCTGAAAGTGGTTTCAAATAGAACTCCTTAAATCGATCACCCAAGTGACAAAGAAGATAATTAGTAAAATAGGATTCACATTAATTTCATATCTCGTAATCAATTGGGACATAATTGATAAAGAGATTGTATTACACTCTAACCACACATTTAGGGCCTATTTGAACCCCCTTTTTTTTGTTAAATGCATTTTCAAATGATATATTGATATAAAATGTGTGATTAAAAAATAAAGGAAAATTTTTTGGATTGTGTGTAACATTATTTTACTGAAAAACGTGTGGTTGAAAAGAAAAAAAAATGGGGATCAAACAAGATCTTAAATTACGAATCACACCACATGACATTTCTGGTCACGTGGATTACTTTGACAATCTGCTACATGTAAATTTTGGTCAAATAATCATAAAATATTTAATTAGTTAAATTAATTGATATATTGATTTATCTCCACATTATTTGTCATCTTGATCGAGATCCGAACCTAATGCACACATAAATGGTGATCATGAGAAGACTCAAAATGAGGAATAAGTTAATTGATAAATGTAGGGAATTTGAGCCATTAATTGACTGATTGAATTTTTAAACTAATAGGTCAAAATTGATTAATCGAGTTACAAAAACAGAAATATCGTCGCTCGACTGTCATCCCTCCTTTGCTTGAGCGGCAGTCTGTCGCTCGACTGTCACTGATTTCTCGCTCGAACGACAGCTTTATTCAGAAAATTTTTATTTCGCGTTTTAAAGGCTTTTCCCTAGCCCATTCGTTTGTTCTAACCTATATATATATACCAAAACCCTTTTGCACGAAAATTGAGGAGATTGAACATTGAGAGAGCTACATCTGTGAAAGATTAATTCGATTCCTTCTTTCAACATTCATCTGCTTTGATTGTTTTGGTGAGAAAAATATTGTTCCCATAATCCAAATACCAAATTGTCTTTCCTCTACATCTGATCAGAGTTCTGAAGATCGAGAAAATTTGACTGAAATTTCAGTACGTGAAGAACATGGTGTTCTTCGTAGATCTACATGAGATAAACAATTTCACAAAGTTGGGAGTTGTTGCAGAAGAGCAGAATGTAGGAAAGCTTCGAAAACTGTAGCTAAGAGTGATGCATGAGCATAGAATTCAGGAAAGTTGTTGGAATTGCAATCGGGTGATTAGATAGTACGTGTCATCGTTTAGGCTGGTAGACTGTAACTTACATATCGTTTATAGTAGATTGTTGACGATAAAGTGCCGAGAGTTTTTTTTCAGTTTGATTTCTCTGTGATCATTCTGGTGTCGATTTATTGCTTTCGTTGTTGTTTATTAATTGATCATATAAATTGTGGTATTCAAACATAGGATTAAATTGACGTGATTGTTTAACCATCTAGAGATAACAATTGGTGACTTGTTTCTAATTTGTTATAATATTTTTAATTCCACATAATATACTTATTCACCCCCCTCTGGGTATTGTTAGGGTCGAACTGCGTAACTTTCAATTGGTATCAGTGCCTTAATTCGAATCCTGACCCTTTATAACATCTAGATGAGTCAGTCATTTTCTGTTTCTCCATTTTACGACGGAGGCAACTATGCCTACTGTAAGTTCGAATGAGAGCATTCCTTAAATCTTTGAATGAACGTATTTGGATTAGCGTTCAAAATGAGTGGGCTCCACCTTCAACCACTGTTGATGGTGTAGTCACACTTACTGACATATCTCTGTGGACTAGAACTAAACTTGATGAATGAAACTGGAACGGTAAAGCATTACATGCTCTGTTCATGGCTGTATCCGCTGAAGAATTTAGGCGAACGTTGATGTGTGAAACTTATAAAGAAGTTTGGGATATTCTAGAAACCACAAATGAGGGTACCAAAACCGTTGAGAATTCTAAACAGCAGATGTTGACAACTAAGTTTGAAGAGATTAGAATGAAGAACGATGAATCATTCGATGAATTTTATGCGAACTGAATGATATAGTTAACTCCAGCTTTAAATCCATTGTCATGAAAACCATTAGAAAAGAGGAGAGCGAGTCCACTAATACTGAGACCCTTAGGGACGGCGGAATTTCTTATTTCGTTAAAAAATTACAGAAGGTGATGAGAAATAGGAGAAAACCTCAAAAACGAAAAACTGGATTTCCTAGAAAATTCATGGAAGATAATCATGAAAAGAGTGACTCTAAAACTGCTAATAAGAAAACCTAATCTGTTAGATGCCATGAGTGTCAGGGTTATGGTCACTATAGGAATGAATGTTCTAACTTGAAAATGAGTTCTAATAATGGCGGACATAAGGCTTTTGCTATGACCTTAAGCGATAATGAATCAGATTATAGTGCTTAGAGTGATACGTCTGGTGAAGAAGATAATCAAAGGCTCATGGCCGTCGCATCTATAGCTACCATAGAATCTGATAAAGAAATTGAGATAGTTTGGGTTAAGAAGATTGATGACGTTGCAAAACATTTAAACCAATTTCGAACAAGGAGCCAACAGAACTAATAGAAAAGCTAGCCGTTGAATTACACGCCATATCAGGGGAGTCTGTTCTTCACTTTCTTCCCCAACCCTTTATATGCGGATTTATGATTTAAGATATTGAGGACAATGTCTAGTTTAAGTTTTTGGGTGGAAAACATAAGTTTTTATTTTCTTTTATGTGTTTTTGTGTACCTTAAAAAAATTGAAAAATTAAAATTTTTCAAAAATGTCAAAAATATTTTCTTTTTGTGTGCTTGTTTGAGTTAGTTGACTTGACTGGCAATGGAGAATGTATTGAATCTAAATTGATCTATGAATGGTGAATAAGTTGCATGTTTAGATTAATTTTTATTTTTCATGTGAAATTTTATATATATTGAGCACATGAATTGAGTTAAACACTGTGTATAAATGAGTTGAATTCATAATTGGATATGTTGAAATAGTGGACCATAGATGTTAAATCCAAAACCACAATTTTTACATTCTCGGACCAAATTTAGAATAATTTGGGGCTTTTACTGTTGTGGGAAG